CACCGAAGATATCTGGGAATCTTTAACACACGAATGGGAACCTTACGCTAAAAGAGATACGTTATGTCTTGGAAGTTGTTTGATAAAATAACCAAGTCACGGAAGAACTTGTAAACCAAAATATGTCCAATAATCTAACGGCTCCATCTTTATATTTTAAGGGTTGGTATTATTTGTATCATTATGATAAAGAAATGGTTGAAGAAGAATGGTATGAAACTACTAGAATGGTTCCGAAACATACTGAAAAATAAAATATAGAAAAAGTTTATTCGCACACTAATCCTTTTATAAGACATTATATCAGACGATCTATTAAAGGAGGAAGAGTTTCGGCAAATAGAAATATATTTGAAACGAACAAAATGGATGAAATTTGTCATGTATTTAAGGAATTTATTTTACAAAGTGAAACACCAAGTGAAACTGAAAGTATTTCACAAAGTGAAACACAAAGTGATAATTCAAGAAGAGATAACATAATTAATCTATTCAAAGAATACATCGCGAGCACAAAAGACAAAACAGAAGTTGATTCAAAACTTAAAAAAATAAAATGTACTAAACTAATGGCATTTGATGCTAATGGTTTGTACGCTTCAGCAATGTCAGATTTAGACAGTGAAAATCCAAAAGCGAAAAGTGGAAGACCTTTTCTACCAGAAGAAGAAAGAAAAATTTTAAAACTCTTCAATGAACAGAAATTTAGACCTAGAACAGCTATTTTAACAGTGTGGTTTAAAATTCCCAAAACCATGTTCTTCCAACCGATACCAGCTACAGATAATATCACTTTCACGAATAAAGAAGGAAAAGGGAAACTGGCAGTAAAATCAGGTTTAGAAATGGTTTCTGTTAAAGAAATAGTTAAAGCCGGTGGAGAAATTATTAGAATATTAGATGGTATATTATACGAAGAAAACTTTAAAACTCCACCATATAGAGATTATATTTTAATTTTAAGATATCTTAGAAATAAATATAAACAAGAAGGTAATATTGTGGGTAGTAATTGCATGAAATTATTAGGCAATTCCTTGTATGGCAAATCTATTCAGAAGGATAGAAACACGAGAAATCATTTGTGGAATGAAGTAACTTTTCAGGCTAACTTCGACTCGCATGTTAAAAACTATGAAAAAATAAATGATACTCAATATTTCGTTGAGACAGAAATTGAAGAAAAGGAGATTACTGCTGAAGATCACTCAACTAAATCTACAGGACTAACACCTAGTCATTTGGGGTCATTCGTTTATCTCACAGTAAAAAAATAATGAATAATTTCATTTCTTTTATAAACCTGAAATATACTATACCGACACTGATAGTTTATACATTTCATCTAGAAATTGGGATAAATTAAATCGAGCTGAATTGGTATCTGAAAATGAATATTGTAAAGAATGATTATGGTGATGGTGGAATCATATTTGGTTTATATTTAGCGCAAAAAGTTAAATATTATATCATTCTAACTTCCGACGGTATTCTAAAAGAAAAGGGTTTAAGGGTTACTCTAAAGATAAGATATCCGTAGAAGATTATATTCGATTAGCTAGTGGACACGATGTAACCAATGAATTTAAGAAACTTTGGGTAAAAAGTTTCACGAATGGAGTAGTTATTCCAAAGGATGATGATAAACAAAAGAAAGTTTTTAGAAGTTATTTGAATCTTGTAAAGAGAAAACAACCAAACAGTGAAGGGATTATGTTCCCTTATAATGAAAAAGAATAGTATAGTTTTGATGAAAACTGTGAATTCGATGATTTCGATTACATATATATTCATGAAGAGAATGAAGAGTGATTAATTACTTATTAATAAATTTAGTTCTTTTGTTTTAAATGAAGTTGAATAACAATTTCTTCGTTACCAAAATCAATAAACCTATTTTTACCATCTTTGATTTCCAGATTTATATTTTTAATGACGTTTGTGTTTATTGAAAAATCCACCGTTTATTAAATTACAGTCGTCAATATCATTCTCGATATTAGCTTTATGCGGCGCTAAAGTGGATTGTGTGTATATTTCAATGATTATTTTTATTGGATAATTTTATCAATTACGTTTAAAACCTTTTTTTAGGAATCTTTTTAATATGCAATTTACTTCATTTTATTGTCTGTCTTGAACGATGGCCATCTTTCATTGCTGCTAATATTATTTCTAATCTATTAAGTAGTTCCTCGTTGTTGTCGGATAAAAACGTTATACCTTGTCCACTGTTTTCTCTAGCTATCTCCTCTTCCAATTCGTCTATTTGTTGTGTGATTGGATTGTCTTCAGCATATTTTTAATCTTCTTGTTTCGGGCCCCGTCTTTCTAATCATATGTAGAAATTCTGAGTATTCTACTAAATCCTTGTAATCGGCAATATCAACATCCCCGCCATTAATTAAATCTATTAATCCTTCTGTTAATGTAAATATAAAGTCTTTTGTATCGATTTTGAATATTGGTGAATTTGCACTAAATCTTATTCTAAATCCATTAAACAATAACCCTTCATTATCAACAATTGGTGTAATGCTCTTTGGCAAATCTGGGTTTGGATTTGAAAAATAACGTTTTATATCATCTAATGTCCTAATTATAAAACCACCATATTAAATCGGTTTTGGGGGATCTTTATGGGGTGAAGGTTCTATTCGAGGCGCGAGTCTCTTTTTAATATCCTCTTGACATTTTTTTTATATTGGTTGAAATAGAGATTGTAGATTTTCTGTTAATCCAAGTTGTTGTAATCTGCTATTTTCAACTTGGATCTTTATTTTATTCTTAGCTTTTTATAATATTATTCCAATCACCCATTTTTAAAGAAATAAAATTAACATATGTCTATTCTTCGTGAAGAATTCTTATTGAACGGCTCGATTTCTTTGTGCTACACAGTCGTCAAACACTATTAATTTTAGACCAATCTAAATCATTAACATTTTTCTTAAGAAAAACTTTTATATCCGTTGGATTGAAAGATGGATTCTTTTCTTTTATATATATCTAAGATATCTTTTATTTCTATCTCATCGTTTTCTTCATAATATTTAAATATTCCTTGAACGTCTTTCTTTGCGGAATTGATAATATGATTGTTCTGGTGTTGTTGTGTAGATATATAATGAATCGAAATCTAAAAGTTTTGGTGCTGTCAACATACCTGAGCTTCCACAAAAACACATAAGCATTGGGTTACTAGGAAATATTTCTGAATGATCAAATTTCTTTCCCATTTTTTATTCTATATTTTTGTGCCAAAAATCACTCCTTCTCCTTTATACTTTGAAAGAAAGATTCCCTCTCCAGAACGTTTGTTTTTAAAAACTATGGCATTCCCCTTATGTTTGACCTTCATTTCTATCTCACCTTTTTTCTAACTTCTACAATTCTATTTCGAACAATTTGAAAACTTACAGAGGCATAGACACTTTTATTGCGAACAAAAACTAATTTTCGAAATTTCGATATCACTTCCGGTTTGGAGCTATTCGCTTGTAAAATATAAAATTCAACTTCCGGATGTAACAGAGTAGCCGCCATATTGATATATCAAACTTTTGTAAAATTCAAAATGGGGCCTCAGGGTATAAAAGCGCTTTTCATAATTTTTGTATATCTGGATATCATAATAAATTGTGAAAAGAAATTTGGAAGCCGATTTTTTTAAATTCGATTTTGCTTTTCTTTTATTTCCGGTTTAATTTTTTCGGTAATGTCCAAAATTTCGAAGGCTCCTATTTCGTGACCTTGACCTTTGGTGACCTTATGACCTGAAATGTACGATTTTTATCTTCAAAGAGCTCTGACACGTGACCTAATTTACATACACCAAAAATTCTTATTGAATCTTACTAGTGTTAATCTGCCCTTTGTATTGATATATAACACTATATATTTCAATCAAAATTGCGCTTTTAGATATTTGAAAATTTTGTACTTTCTTGTATATTAACTGTGCGTAATTTTCTTTAAATCGAATTGGGGCCTCAGGGTGTAATCCAATTTGTGTAAATGTGACATATATGGTATCTATTATCGATTGCTAAATAATATTTGAGAACCGATTTTTGAATTTTGATTTTGCTTTTTATTTATTTCCTGTTGAAAAATATGAATACTTTGAAGGGTCGTATATCGTGACCTTGACCTTTGGTCAACATATGACCAGAAAAATTTTGATAGCTCTCGACGAGATCTATCCAATGGTATATTAACGTTTATTGTACGGCATTTGAAATTGATGAATTTTTTCTTGAAAAAGTCGGTTTTTCTCTTGTAAGTTTTTTTAGTGGATAAAGGTAGTTTGCTCCCTTCAACTGTTGTTGAATGCAATGTGAGTTGAAGCGATCTGTCGAATATGCTTTTTGTTTGGGCGATCTATATCTAGTTAATTATGATAGGAAATTATGATACTTTGCGGCACAGTTTTAAGCGTAAAATCGAAACTGTTACGCACTGCTTCAGAACCACGCGAAGCCTGTGGATCTAGTTTTTTTTTCGAATTCTGGTCAGAGCGCCCAGCCAAAACTATACATGCCACATAAATACTGTTAACATTTCTCTATGTTTCTAAATATGATGAACGTATTTTCATGCATTTTTTTTCAACCGGAAATGACGTAGAACAAAATCCATTTTTTACGTTTTTGCTAATTTTCGGCTCCAATTTTGATCGATTTTTTTTGTTAATAAGTTCGCGCTAACTTCTATAATATAGCAATTAAAAAATTCTAAAATTTAGACTTTTGTCGCTGACTTTTTTACTTTCAATTTTTGAGGTTTTTCACTTTTTTTTTCTAACTTCTACAATTTTGTTTCGATCGATTGCAAACTAAAATTGATTTTCAAAGTTTCGATATCACTTCCGGTTTTGACGTTATTCGCTCGTAAAGTAAGAATTTCAACATCCGGAATTTTGTAGATATTTGAAAAATTCTTTTTGCAATTAGTTATATTTGTGTCCCCGTTAAGATTTTGGAATGAAAGAATATGACACGGAAGTATTGGGTAAGACGCCATCTTGATATGACTAATTTTTATAAAACTCAAAATGGGGCCTCAGGGTAAAATTGGATGTGCGTAAATTTGATGTTTATGTAAACTGCAATCAATTGCTAACAAAACATGGGAAGCCGATTTTTGAATTTTGGCTTTGTATTGTTTTTATTTCCGGTTTTATGTTTTCAGTAATTGTCAAAACTAAACTAGTGTCCAAAAGAAACGATACCAACTTATTTTCAAAATTGTTTTTTACTAACACTTTTTACTACTTACTTTTTACGAATTGTCTAATATGAAAACATGCCAATTCGTATTGCACATCCTTAACACAGCATAGTCGATAAAAATACCGGGAACACTTCCGGGAAAAAATGTAAATTTCGTGAAAGTGACATTTCCCTCTCAAGCATGTTCTGCACGTGCATAAAAACTGTATAAAACGGCTGATCAGACACGTTGATATCACAGCAACAAAAAGAACACAAGATATGCCACGTTTGACAGCCATCGAGAGAGAGCGAGCCGTTGGAATGGTCCAACAAGGAGCGACACACGTCGACGTCGCCAGAGGGTTGGGCGTCAGACAGGCCCAGGAGTGGAAGACCACGAGTAATCACGCCCCGTGAAGATCGTTACATCCGGGTAATTACACCTGAGGAACCGCACCGTAACAGCGACGACCACGGCGGCTACAGCACTGGGACACAGGATCAGTCGACAGACCGTCTACAGGAGACTACGGCAGTATGGTATCCGGCCACGTCATCCCTACTGCGGACCGCTTCTGACGCCTCGACACCGTAACAACAGACTGATCTGGGCCAGGCGAGTTCGACGTTGACAACGGCGGGACTGGGCACGTGTTATGTTCTCTGATGAGAGCAGATTCCTCAATCTAAAAACGATGGACGGCAGCTTGTATGCCGACGATTTGGTGAACGTTTGGCGCCTAACTGTATCCAACAGGTCCGGCCGTTTGGAGGTGGAGGGTTAATGGTTTGGGGTGGCATATGTGGTGACGTCAAAACGAGGCTTGTCGTAATTCGTGAATGCACAGCGTTATATTGATGACATCCTACGGCCTGTTGTGGTGCCCTTTATTCAGCAACAGCCTCGTGGACTCCTTTTCCAACATGACAATGCAAGGCCACACACAGCAAGATTGACACAGAACTTCCTTGCCAACGCCAACGTAAAGGTTTTGCCATGGCCCGCATATTCACCTGACATGAATCCCATCGAGCACTTATGGGACCACCTCGATCGGCAAATCCGACGTCGCCGTGTGCCTCCAGTCAACCTTCCGGACTTGGAACGATGTCTCCTCTAGGAATGGCAACGCATCACTCCCAACGTCATCAGACGTTTGACGGCATCAGTCCGTAGGCGTGTTCTGGCATGTATTGATGCTCACGGTGGACATACCCGCTACTGACTTGACTTTGTGACGTGTGGTGTGACATTTCCCGTTGTTTCTGTGATCAGTACTCTAACGAAATGTTCGACCCCACCCATCTTTAAAGGGTTGTCATATTGGTTGTACAGATTTTATCGAAATGAAATTTTTGTACAGATGTTGTGAAAGGATTCCTCAAAAGTATAACACCAATCCTAAACTTCTGCATTGTTTAGTTTTTCTTTTATGTCGTTGCAAACATGTGGTATCGTTTCTTATGGTATCTAGTGACTTTGACCTTTGGTGATCTTGTGACCTGCACAAAAGTTGTTGCTCCTGACGGGATCTATCCGATAATATCTTCAGTTTTGTTGTGCATCGTTAACTTCCGGTTCTACAGCCATTTGAAAATCGCGATTTTTAACTTTGAAGAGCTGTCACTTGACCTACTTTACATACGACAACATTTCTTATATATTCTTAAAGTGCATGATTTCTCCTTTTTGGTGATATATCACACTTGATATTTTTATCAAAATTGCGCTTTTTAAAAATTGAAAATTTTGTACCGACTTCTATAGTAACTGTGCGTAAATTCACGGTGTCTATAATCCACCGACAGTAGCCGTTGCCTTAAAAACTACGAATATCTCATGATCTAATGATTGTAAACACTTGAAATTTTGAACATTATTTAACAATGTTCACCTCATCACAGGCAACTTAAAATTTTTGAAATGGGCGTTTCACATCCGGTGTGCATTTACTTTACCTGAAATATTTGCATTGGTCATAACTCCATAGGTTTTCAATTGTTACCCTAGAAATTTTTGATGAAAATAGATCACTACATAGTACAATTGGTGATAAGATTACAGTTGTTTGCGTTCTTTACTTTAAAAAAGGGAATAGGTTTAACAATTTTAAAAATTTTCATTTTTGATCTTTAACATAAATGACCTTGACCTTTACATGGTAAAAGGTCATTGACATAGGATGACCATTCTTACTTTGATCTTTGATGGCCGATATGTACTTCCGGTTTTGCAGACGTCCGACAACAGCAATTTTCGAAACTTCAAAGGCTCATATTACTTTTACTTGACCTTTGTTGACCGGTCAACTGAAAATCGCGATTTTTAACTTTAAAAAAGATGTCACGTGACCTAATTTACATTCGTGAAAAATTTCTCTTATGTCTCTTGTAACGGTGTCTATAATCCACCGACAGTCACCGTTGCCTTAAAAAACTTTTAACTACGAATATCTCATGATCTAATGATTGTAAACACTTGAAATTTTGAACATTATTTGACATTGTACGCATTATTAGAGACAACACAAAATTTTTGAAGTGGGCGTGGCAAATCCGGGTTACCTTTACCTTTAACTTAAATATTTCAAATTGTTATAACTCGCAAAGTTTGTATCTGTCACCATCGAAATTTTACATAAAAATAAATCACTATTTGGGACAATAAGTGATAGAATTACATTTTGTTTGGGCCTTTTACTTTAAAAAGGGAAAAGGGTTTACAATTGATAAAATTTTCATATTTTGACCATTTACATGCATGGCCTTGGATATTTACAATGCCAAAGGTTATTGATCTATTATGTCCATTCATACTTTTATCTTTGATGACCGACATATATTTACGCTTTTACACACGTCCAAATATAGCAATTTTCAACACTTTTAAGGTCTTATATCTCTTTTATTTGACCTTTGTTGACCTCTTGACCATCACACAAGTTATTGTATTTGACGAGACCTTTCCAAAAATATTTTCATTTTTGTTGTTCGATTTGTACTTTTAACTTTACAGATATTTGAAAAATCGACTTTTTACTACCGAATGATAACATCTTTTAGTACCAAATGGTATCAAATTCCAACGTCTTTTCACTACCGAACGTTAAACGGTTCAAACGATGTTTTAACTTTTGAATGTTTACTTGCTTTTCTTTTCGGTAGAAAACGTAGCCACTCTTGACGTCTTTCGAATTACTGCTCCAATTCTGAATCTATTTTTGATAAAAATTTTGTTTTGTTCTTTACTTTTTAAGTAATGGCTAAAGGATAGCACTTTAAAAAATTTAAGATTTTGACTTTTGTCGTAGACAATAATTTAATAATAACGTTTTTTTTCAACCTCTACAATTTTATTTTGATCGATCTGAAAATTTACTAGTTGATAAACATTTTGATTGCAAACAAAATTTTGTTCTCAAAATTTTTGTATCACCGGTATTGACGTCATTCGCTCTTAAAGTTGAAATTTTTGGACTAAATTTAGGTCGCATTTTTACTTTGACTTGACTAATCATTGCTAAATACCGGATGTAAAGAGGCTCGCCGCATTCACAAAGCGAAATTCAATATCAATTGCCGAAATCATCTTAAGCTAAAGACACATACATGCAGTTCGTGGTCCGGTGCGGCGATGCGATGCGTTCATTTCACCGCAGCGTTTCACCGTTTCGAAACAAACAAGGGTATGTAATGGACATGACGCATACATGCTGTTGCATTGGGTTGCTATATTTCCCCGCAGCTGTCCATTATTTTCAGACGTCATTGTGGGGAAACCCCATTATTACAGAGTGGAAGCCGTCAACATGCCACGTCCAGCAGCAATAACTCCAAATTTAGCAAAAAAGTGAACTGCGTCATACCTGCCGCAAACGGTACCGCATAATCACACCGGTTTACCGCAAAGCAGTCATCGCACCCGCATGTGTGCGTTAATTGGCGAATTGTCCGGGAATTGCCGAATGGTGATTATGTTTTCATTCAATGCTACAGGTGTGAAACGGACTACCTAAGTGCCCGTCTGCACGGGTCTAGTTTGTATTTCTATTAGAGATATGAATCATAAATATTATATTAAAGTGAAGCTTACCTGTAATTATTTGATATTACCATACAGATAAAATTTTTAGTATATTAGTTTGTATTTCTGTTAGAAATATGAATCTTAAATATTATATTAAAGTGAAACTTACCTGTAATTATTTTATACTACCATACAGTTAAGTAGTATAAGAGTATATAGGGCACTTTTTATAATTTATAAAAACTGAAACCTATCTATATACTCTTATACTACACTTTTGCGCGCGCCGCGCGCGGCGCCCGCAACCCCACCAGGGACGCAGTTGATAAATTTAAAAACAGAATGAGTTTAATTTTAAAACACGAACAACACAAATTCGAAGGAGACGGATTCTTCTTAGCTCTATCATCTCTCATCCCAAAAAGTAGCCAACTTTGTCTCAAACAACAAATTCCTTATTTCTTCGGAAACGCACGCTCTTGGGTCAGTTGCAAAAGCAGGAATTAAAATAAACGATGCTGTGAAAAAGTCTGATGAATTACAGCAAATAAGAGAACTACGAAACATGAGAATAGAACAACAAGAAAGAAAAGGAAAAGGTTTTAAAATTATTGGATAAAAATGTCAATGATAATTGCTCAAACTCCTAATACTTATTTCGGTTCCGACATTCAAAAATCATTAGATTTCCACGGGCAAAATACTCCGGAGAAAAACATTTCCCCGGTCATAATTACACTGGTCCAGGTACAAGGTTAGTTCTTCGATTAGACCAAAACGGTAAACCCAAACCAGGTGAAGAACCAGTCAATGGAGTTGACGCCGCTGCACCTAAACGTGCAGTATACAGAAATAAAGACATAACATCCAGACACGAAGCAGACAAACAAATGATAATCGAACTTGAAAATATTCCAAATCCAACTTTTAAAGAGAGAATGCAAAGAGCATTAATCATTAAACTCTTGAAAATGGGTATGGGAATAGCAGATGAAATACATAAAGAATTTAGAAAAAACAAACATTTTTTAAAAGTCAAAGTGTTTGATAAAGATTAAATTTGGTCAGCAGATTTAATTAATATGCCAGTCGAAAGAGGATATAAATATTGTTTAACAGTTATAGATTTGTACACAAAATATACTTTGGTTATTCCTCTCAAAAACAAAACAGGATTATCAGTCAAACACGCATTTGAAACAATAACAATCAAACAGACGACCTCAAAAGTTATGGGTAGATAAAGGAAGTGAATTTTATAATAAAAATATGAAATCACTAGGGTTTGAAATTTACAGTACTCATAACGAAGGTAAAGCTGTAAAAGAAAGATTTAACAGGACCCTAAAAAAAATAAATTATTCAAAAAGTTCACGGAATTGAAATCCCAAAAATGGCTTATAATATTACCAGAGGTTGTAGATGAATACAATAACAAAATTCATTCATCTATAGGTGTCACACCTACACAAGCCACAAATAATCCAAATATTATAAAGTCAATTAACGCACAACATAACTACGAAAATGAAATAAATAATTTAAATATCAACCCAAATTTAAAGTCGGAGATTCGTATTTTCAAATATAAAAGCAAATTCGAAAAAGGTTACGTTGGATTTTGGACAAACGAAATATTTATTGTAGATGAAATAAATAGCACATCACCTCCAACATATGAATTAATCGATCAAGACAAAGAACAAATCATAGGTAGGTTCTATCAAAACGAACTTCAAAAACTGACTTTTAAGATGAATATCTTTCTCGATAAATACGGAACCGATACAACTACAAACTTTCAACTTATGAAGTGGGCAGATGAGTTAAATATATCTCCGTTTTATTATTGTATGAGAGATGAAATAAATAATCTCAAATATAAGAAAGGTAAATTTTATGCTATAACAAATATACATACTTCTGATCAAAAAGAAGTTCATCACTCTGCTTTATTCAAAGACTCTTTAAATAACTTTTATTTCTTCGATTCTTTTGGAAATAGAACCAACTGAAGAGATAATGCAATTAGTGAAAGTAATCAAATGTTCAACATTTCAATTTCAATTACCGGGTCAAAAATTTTGTGGTCAACTTTTACTTGGGTTTTATATCAGCTGAGTTTAGGAAAACAATTTGAAGAAATTATAATAAATGTAACTTAATAAAAATGGCGAATAAATTTGGATTAGGTTCTTTACCTTTAGATACTAAAAATAGATGCTATTAAACAACAACTCCTAAAGGTAGTAGATAAAACTCAATTTCAAAATTTAAAATCATCAATATCTAATTTAAATGATAAGGTTACAAAGCAAAAAATAGATCTTAAACAATTAATAGATAATATTAAACCAGGTATAAGAGAAGAAAAATTAACTGAATTAGAAACTAAACATAATGATAATAGTGAAATAGTCACTATTCAAAAACAATTACTCAATCTAGTAGATAAAACTCAATTAGAAAATTTAAAATCATTAATATCTAAATTAGATGATAAGATAACAAAAAAATAGATCTTAAACAACTAATAGATAATATTAAACCAGGTATAAGTGAAAACACATGGCAACAGGAATCAACTGCTCTAGAAACTAAATTTAAAACTGAAAGAAAAGAACAAAAAGAACTAACAAATATTAATCAACTGATACAAAATATTTATGATAGTGAGATTCAACAACAGATAACTACTATTTATAACGAAGTTTTAAAACAGGAAAAAAATATAGCCACATTAGAAAAAAAAATCATATTATTTCAATCTTCCAGTCTTTCGTGTGAGAAATACTGAACGTATTCCTACAGGTGAAACAACATATCAGTTTGTAATATTTTCATATATAAATGAAAACGTTAAAAACATATTTGATGATTCAGGAAACTTTAATTTCCGAGTCTCCAAATCTCTAATTGAAATTCTTTTTCCTGTAAAAGTTAAAATCGATTCAATCTCACTATTTTAACGCTCGTAAGATTTTCGAAATTATCAAATATGGTGAATATGTTGAAAATAAAGATTTGGAAGTTAACGATGAAAACAACAAGCCGAATCATATGTATGAAATTAAAACAAATGGAAGATATTTAGACGCCTTAAGAATGTCAATAATACCAGACAATGACAACGACATTCTTTCAATAGGTGATTTTGATATGATATTAGTGACGGAAAGCTCACCATCGATGAACATTATTAGAAATCCAACTCCGCAAAAAGCAGAGACAGTAAAGATTTATACGTTTTAAAGAACATTTGACTTTGATTTTTTTTTAATACTAGTTTTTTACACTCACTAAGATCTAATACTAATTTATTTACCTCAATTGATATTCACAAAAGTCAACAAGGTAAAGAATTTATAATATTTTCATCAATAATTGAACGTCATAAAGGAGATGGTAGTGCGAAGTTGGTGGTATATATACTTGTAGATGTAAAAATGTAAAATTATTTACAACATATTAATTTCACATGTTCCTATCAACATGAAACCTGTAGTTTAGCGGCATGGTGTAATTCATCTAATCTACCAATGATAGATATCAATGTTGCAAAATACACCAAAGATAACTGGGAATCTTTAAGACACGAGTGGGAACCTTACGCTAAAAGAGATACGTTATGTCTTGGAAGTTGTTTCATAAAATATAACAAAGTCACGAAAGAAGTTGTAAACCAAAATATGTCCAATAATCTAACGGCTCCATCTTTATCTTTTAAGGGTTGGTATTATTTGTATCATTGCGATAAAGAAATGGTTGAAGAAAAATGGTATGAAACTACTAGAATGGTTCTGAAACATACTGAAAAGGAAAATATAGAAAAAGTTTATTCGCACACTAATCCTTTTATAAGACATTATATCAGACGATCTATTAAAGGAGGAAGGGTTTCGGCAAATACAAAAATATTTGAAACGAACAAAATGGATGAAATTTGTAATGTATTAAAGGAATTTATTTCACAAAGTGAAACTAAAAGTATTTCACAAAGTGAAACTGAAAGTATTTCACAAAGTGATAATTCACAAAGTGATACACGAAGTGATAATTCAAGAAGAGATAACATAATTAATCTATTCAAAAAATACATCGCGAACACAAAACAGAAACTTAAAAAAATAAACTGCAATAAACTAATGGCATTTGATGCTAATACGCTTCAGCCATGTCAGATTTAGACAGTGAATATCAAAAAAGTGCTATACCGTTTCCTCCAGAAGAAGACAAATTTTTTGTAAAACTCTTCAATGAAGAGAAATTAAGACCTAGAACAGCTATTTTAACAGTGTGGTTTGACTATCCCAAAAACATATTCTTCCAACCGATACCAGCTAAAGATAATATCACTTTCACAAATAAAGAAGGAAACAAGGAAACTGGCAGTAAAATCGGGTTTAAAAATGGTTTCTGTTCAGATGTTTTAACATCGGTCGATATTCAAGAAATAGTTAAAGCCGGTGGACGAATTATTAGAATATTAGATGGTTTAGTATACGAAGAAAATTTTAAAACTCCACCATATAGAGATTATATTTTAATTTTAAGAGATCGCAGAAATAAATATAAACGAGAAGGTAATATTGTGGGTAGTAATTGCATGAAATTATTAGTCAATTCCTTGTATGGTAAATCTATTCAGAAGGAAATCATTTGTGGAATGAAGTAACTTTTCAGGCTAATTTCGACTCACATATTAAAAACTATGAAAAAATAAATGATACTCAATGTTTCGTTGAGACAGAAATTGAAGAAAAAGAGATTACTGCTGAAGATCACTCAACTAAATCTACAGGACTCACAAATAGTCTTGATTTGTTTTATATCACACAGTAGAAAAATAATGAATAATTTCATTCATGTAATAAATGAATTTTATAAACCTGAAATATACTATACCGATACTGATAGTTTATACATTTCATCTAGAAATTGGGATAAATAAAATCGAGCTGAGTTGGTATCTGAAAATGAATATTGTAAAGGCAAGAATGATTATGGTGATGGTGGAATCATATTTGGTTTATATTTAGTGCCAAAAGTCAAATATAATATAATTCTAACTTCTGATGGTGTTTCAAAAGAAGGGAAAACGTTTAAGGGTTATTCTAATAACAAGATAGGCGTAGAAAATTATATTCAGTTGGCATGATGTGTCGAATGAATTTAATAAAAGATGGGAAAGGAGTTTCACGAATGGAGTAGTTATTCCAAAGGATGATGATAAACAAAAGAAACTTTTAGAAGTTATTTGAATCTTGTAAAGAGAACAGTGAAGGAATTATGTAATAGTAATAAAGATGAGTATAGTTTTGATGAAAACTATGAATTTCATGATTTCGATTACCTATATAATTAAGAAAAGAATGAAGAGTGATTAATTACTCAATAACTTTTGTTTTAAATGAAGTTGAATAACAATTTCCTCGTTACCAAAGTCAATAAACCTATTTTTACCATTTTTGAGTTCCAGATATATATTTTCAATCATGAACGAATTAAATGGTAAATATGTTGTTTGAAATGGTTTCTCTATAATTCTATATCCAAGCGGTACAGTGAATGTTGGAATACTGTAAATAATCTAACGTTTGTGTTTATTGAAAAATCCACCGTTTATCTAATTACAATCACATCAATATCATTCTCGATATTAGCTTTATGTGGCGCGATTATGACATGATTCACTCAATAATTTTTAGAAATCAAAAACCTGACTACTTTATAAATCGCAAATTCAACCTCATTACATAACCATTCCTCGACACTTGAAAAAGGATAATATTTCGAAAACCGATTCGTGTCAATTGCGTAAGTTTTTGTTTTACTTGTTATAATTTATCACATCATTGTTAGCGTTATTTATCACCTAAATATATATTTTTGCATTTTTCATCATAACTTTCATCTTACTTTATATATCCCCAAACCCAGTTTGACTTATTTGCATAATTTGATCCCCACATTTTCACGCTAGCATATACAGTTTCCTCCTGTTACATCCGCTGTACATTCCCTTTCTAACCTCAAGTTATTTTCATTATGCTCCCCAACTACAACAGCCACTGGCAAGAAGCCAGACATAGAAACACTAATCGTCAACCAAACCAATATCACGTACTCTACAAAGGCCATCGTATTAGATCCCTCAATCGGACATGGCTCTCTAAGGTCCTGATCGACCTTTACCAAACCACACTTCAAGAGAAGCTGACCACCATTCGTACCAAGTCTTTATCATCACCTGCCGTCGACCGCATCGTTTCTCATGCCATGTCCTGGGCCCGTCTCTCCTATGGGAAACGTCTCACTCAAGCTGTAATCACCAAATTCTACCAAACAATCAACGAAGTTCACCTACTCCAAGTCCAGCAGACATAAACGCTCTCGTAGAGAGGGCACTCCCCTTCTCTTTTCACATTCAGACTCGTCTTCCCATCCACACCATCTGAATCTTCACCACGTGATCCAGGATCCGCCAACTTTTCTTCCTTCTGTGCGTTTTTGGACCAGCAAACCACCCCTCAGTCTCCATCCATGTCGAGACGTATATCCAGACCTTCCCCCCTCGAACCAGATCCCAGTCCGTTCCCAATGCTACAATTCTAACAACTACCAAACCAGTACCAATCACACCGTCGACGACCATTATATCCGCTACCAAACCGTATTAACACCAAACTAAGGACAAATCATTATGGAAGCTATCTGCTCTAAAGAAATCTACCTTAATAATTGGATCATCTAACCTGAATCGAATTACCAAGACACTGAGATACATTCTTACCCCGGTGCCCAAATCCATCACATACAGTCAATCCTGGAATCATACGACCATGATCCCAAACCTACTACCATTATTCTTCATGTTGGCCTCAACAACCGTAATCAGCTACCAAAGACCTCCTTTAACCAAGCCCAGAAATTAATCGCCACAGCCAACAAAACCTTCCCAAACTCAAAGATCCTCTTCACATGTATACCCATTTCAAATAAAATCTCGAAGAAAGCACAACCGAACTTCAGCACTCTCAAAAACAATGTGACAGCGCAACAATCTTACCACCCTACGAAGAATAATTCCAACCAGTTGATAATCTTCATTGGTCTCCAGAAACAGCAAACAGCTTTTATTTGTTTTGGATACACCAGCTTCAAGCATCGAGTAAGTCTTTAAACTAATTACTGGGGATAAAAATACTGAGAGGCCAAACTGTAGTTAACTTGAGCCGCAAAATTCTCACACCCCTCCATCATTCAATCTTAGACCGTGGACTTAAATTTATTCCCACACCAAAGATAGCTAACTTGAATTTTCTCCGACCATCCATTGAACGATTTCAACGAAAACTTAGCTGCACATATTTTTTTCAAAACCACCCCCGACGTGGTGCTAGAACAATGTTTATTCCTAAATCCACGTGGACACCCCATCCTGAAATATTGAAAGCATTTGCGAGTATGAATAGCCAAACAGTGAACCTTTCCATAACACACGAAAAGCCTAATCCCACACGAGTGGAACGTGAAGCGTTAAACTTACTTAAGAAAGACGATAGCATTGTTATTAAAAAGAGTGACAAAGGTTCTGAATAGGGAGGATTACGTTTCAGAAGCAGAGAATCAACTGAATAATCCTAAACATTATGCCATTTTACCGAAACCAATTTTCAAAGAAACTGCTAACATGATTAACAATATTCCTGCCGATTTAGTCAAAACTAGTCAAACAGAAACAATATGACTATCTGTCTGCCAAACCTGATTGTCGCGAGAGACATTTGTACACTTTGCCTAAAATCCATAAGAATCCAACCAAGGAGTTGTTTATCTCGAATAAAATCCCAAAAGGCCGCCCGATTATATCTGACTGTGGTAGTAAGTCATATGCAGTGTCAGAATACATTGATCAAGTCTAGCATGTCAACATCGCGCCTACCTTAAAGACACAACCGATTTTGTCAATAAAGTAAAAAATCTTCGAGTTCCCTCTAATGCTATTTTAATTTCTATCGACGTTTCTTCTATGTATACCAATATCGATAACACTACTGGTTTAACGGCAGTTCGTAAAGCTTTTAATAGAAACCCAGATCCAAACAGATCCGACGATGCAATTCTACAGCTTTTAGAGATTTGTCTTAGTCGAAACGATTTCACATTTAATGGTAAAACATATTTACAAATTTCAGGGACAGCAATGGTCAAACGATTCGCCCCTTCGTACGCAAACCTTTTCATGGCAGAGTGGGAACGTGAGGTGTTGCCCCTCTGTCCATTTGACCCACTTTTTTACGGACGCTTTTTGGATGACATTTTTATGGTTTGGAACAGTTTTGGGAATTCTTTGAAATTCCCAACAACCACCATCCTTCTATCAAACTAACCGCAAACGTGAGTGAAAAAAGCACAGACTTTCTCGATACCACAGTCTTTAAGGGAGATTCCATAGCAGAAACAAATAAACTGGATATTAAAGTGTATTTCAAAGAAAATGATACTCATCAACTCTTGCACAAGAGCTCCTTTCACCCAAAACATACCTTTTCTGGTATAATTATAAGTTTTACGATTTCATCGAATTTGTACAAGATCTTCTGATTTCAACCAAGCCTGTACGATTGTTTTCTCAAAACTGAAAGAGCGTGGGTACTCTAAACGATTTTTACGAAACATAAAAAATTCCACCTTAGATAGCAGCTAAAAACAGACTTTATGCCGAAGTACCTATAGGTTTTAGAAGTGCTCCATGTTTGTCCAGTAGATGCAAAACATGTCCCTTTATATCAGAAACTCATTATTTTGTAAGCAACTCTACTAATAAAAGGTACCCGATCCAGGAACATCTAACATGTGAACATTCGAATGTAATATATCTAATTTCATGCAAGAAATGCCCCAAACAATATGTAGGAGAAACTAAGAATAATTTACGAACTCGCTTTAATGCTCATAGGTCAGACATCAAATTAAAGAAAGACAAGCCTGTTTCTAATCATTTCAACCTCGACGACCATTCAATAGACGATCTCACCCTAATCCCAATTGAGCGTATAGAAATTAACTTGCCCGAAGATGAAACTACCAAATTCCGTCAATCTAGGGAAGCCCATTGGATTGAGACATTGAATACAGCAAGACCTATAGGACAATATTCATCATAATGTAGGCATAGCACCCTTTGTTGTCCCGTTTAATACAACCAGCAATCGAGCAAGCAAGATAGTTCATGCCCCCTATAAGAGCCTTCAAGAAAAATTCCCCCATGTCTATAAGCAGAAAATGATAGTTGCATATTCAAAAAATAAGAATTTAAATGATAATATTGTTCATAGTAAATTAAAAACAATCAGTACATAACAGATACTATACTTCTCGCCCACCGGGCGAGTTATTTTTTCTAATTTCAGATCAGAATAAGAACAGAAGAAGACCCAATATCAAGACCCTCAATCCTAATTTCTTAATAAAGTGTCTGCTCCACCCTAGCCTGTACATTTGGAAGAATCAAACCCTCCCTTCCCCGAAACCTAATAAAGTATTCAAAGAATTTTCTAAGTTGAAATCTACTTGACTCTTATTTCTCAATATCAATTTTATTTTGTTCAGATTCAAATTACCTTCGAATTCAATATTGTTTTTACCATTTGCACTTCCTCTATATTCAGA